GCCCTCGGCCAGGGCAACCGGGTAGTGTAAGTTGCCTTCCCAGCTATTCACCCATCGGATTTCACCCACACCCCCTCCGCACCCTTCAAATAACCCGCCGCTGCCAATCACTCTGTCAGTCTCCGAACTACTATTCCGTGTTTAAACCATCGCCAAGCAAGCTTTCCCTTTCTGTCGATATATTTTTTGTCCCCAAAACACACATATAAAGAAGCCCCACTTCCATTGTGTACATCAGGTTGCTCGGGGCAAGCTCACATCCCACTCTTCAGGTATCTGGTGGTCAAGATGCAATATTTCGTGGTACATATGGCTTGAGAGTTCCGCCCAACCCCACGGCTAAAAGTTCCTTAACGGACTGAATTTCAGTACACGTTTTCTGCGCTGTACGGTTGTCCGGTTCAGTTGAGATTAACGCAAGTCGATACATTAAAAGGCGTCTATCTGTCGCGTCAGTACATGAGCCGACAGACCGATCCTGAAAGTGAAGCAACAGCTGCACTCTATACCAGGTGGTTGGATCAAAGGGTCAGAATAGATACTTCTGGTGAAATGGAGCTCTTGGATAGTGATTCCAATTTTCGAAAAGAATGCAGGTGTCGTTGAAAAATCTTTATGGTCTCAGCCTGTTAGTAGTGGTCATCAAGATACCCATTGGAATCAATTATCGGGGGATAGACTCGTGGGAATCGAGCTGGGTTTTGCTCTATCGGAAGATGAACCGACCACAGGCATATGAACAGCGCCACTCCCTCACGCGTCCAACGTCGGTCTTTTTTATCTGAAGGCAGATAAACCTGATCATTAGAAACTATGACGCTGTCTTCTAGATTTTTCCCCATGGACACGTACGGATATACGGTGAGCTTTTGCTAGAGTTCACAGAGTCCAGTAATGTCGGACAAGGCTGCCTTGCCTCGCAGTTTTTCTCATCTTTGTTATTGAAACTTGAAACTTTTCCGTATGTCCCTTAATCTTCAACTGTCACACGGCTCCCGCAGCGTCCGCTGACAAATGGAGCATGCAAATGACACTTCTTGGTCAAGCACCAGCCATTTTTCATAACTCGAATAAGTCGACTACCATGTTTGATATGCGAGTCACGCCTGCAAATTGTAAAGTGCCTCTACAAGACTGGGTAGGATCAAAACCAAAGCTTATGAAATGTTTACCTGGATAGTTATGTAAGTTACACTAGGTTGGTTGACGACGAGATTATCATTGAAACCGGGATGGGTAGTACAGCTCCTCCCACCGGCTGCATCTAGAACGTCAGTCAATGCGTCCCATACTACTCTATGGATGATAAAGCGGTCTCTGTGTACAGGTATAGAGAAGTTATCGGAATGTGATGATTAACACCCTCGAAGCACCGGACGGGTAAGTACGGAAATCAGATCAGTAACGCTGCAGTAAGCCAGCTGTTTCTAGGAACTAATTACGCTGAACAGTTCACGCTCTTTGGGACAAATACCTCGTATGTCGGGGGACTGTTTGTCTTGAAGAACTCTTCTCTTCCCAACCACATGCTGAGTGGGAACGATCGAAAGCTGGAAGGGAAGCATGAGGTACCTAATCATTAAATGTCGCCTCGCCGGATTGGGATCCCGGGACGCAACTCATCAGTACTTGGTGACACAAGCCGACGGCTCAATCACGCAGTGACTGGTGTTCCTGCATCAAATCTATCGTCCCCAATAAGTGGCTGCCAGATTTCTCACTTCCGCAAGCGATTAGAACATTCCAACACCAGCCAAATGATTGGAGAGTCGTCTCCAATACCTGGCTACACATACTCTAATCTCTCACTTTTCGGTAGCTGAAATTGCACCAGCTACGAACAACTTATCCTTTACACATGGTTTGGAGCTCATTAACCGAACTGAACTGGAATGGAATAACATACTTTTAAACTACTGACCTTAGGACGTACCAAAGTTTCATTTGATCAGTTCGGTTATGATTAGTATGTGCATTTTCATCATCCCATGCAACTTCATTTTAAAATGTATCGCTCCGGGATACTAAGCCAGAAAACCACACCACTATCGAGATAAAAGTACTTACTGAACTAGGATATATTTAGACAACCACCAAATCTGCTGCCCAGTCAAGCCGACTGGTATTGAAGGCCTCAATTTAATATCTCGAGTATCGTCATCGTTTGTCCTTCTGTCCACTGCCTAATGAAATCAACAGGGTCATAGACATGTCATTGACATAGGTCAACTCAGAAAAAGAGGGATTCGTTCCTTTTCAAACAAACCATACTAGTTCCATGGTTCCAAGGTTGGCTAGTAGCACAAACCTCAGGTTTTTTAATTTTTCCGCAACAACACATGAATTTCAATGGAAGGCACGACTTTGCTCAAGGGTTCCTGAGATTTTCAGGGACTTACATGGCGCCTTAGGTTGTCATTTGTTATTCCAGGCTTGGTTTCATCTAGTTATCTGAAATCCGTTAGCACAGATACAATGTAACCTCTCTAAAAGCAAATACTACACATATGGCGACGGTTAAGCTTATCAGAATCCGTTTCTGACCATTACAAACCGAGTTCCTATATGTCTGGTGGCAACGGCTAAAGTGAATCTATCCCACTTCACCAGTTGCACTACCTCATTCCAAAAATAAGCATACGGATTTTACTACAGACTATATTTTGTTTCACGGTTGCGGTACGCTGCGGTCAACAGTGTCCAGCGTTCTGGAGCAACCGTCGTCCACCGAACTCGTCAGCGGACAACGCAGAGGAGTTTTAATGCACCTAGTCACCTCCAACGGTTCTTGTAATGGGCGACTCTATCCTATACAATGTAGGGCGATTAAATGAATGTCTTAAAAACCACGATCCTACATAAAGAAAATAGCGCCTATTCGAGCGTCAGTTTCGAACAGTCATCATACAAGCATAAATCATCTTCATAATAGCAATAAAGTTATCGAAGCATCTAAACTCCGGCTTGGCAGTAAACTTTAGTTAATCGTATCCAAACTTCAAGGGCGATTGATGCATCCTACAATACTCTTGGTACTTGGCACACCAGCATTCTACGATATCACATTTTGACGGGATGATCGACACCCAAGTTGTGCGGTTTAAAACTGCACTTCTTAGTATGTGATAAGTTAGCTTTGGCTGTTTGCATGGGGCACGATAAGGGAACCAGTTATTCAGGGTAAAAATAGGAAGGCGACCATGGGGTTGTTGATCAGTCATTGATCAAAGTCTTTGAAAGTCGTTGATACGGAACTTCGTTCAAAAATGTCATGTTATTCTTCAGATACAGTTGCTCAGTTATAAAGGCGGCGTCTGAAAAAACGGACGGAAACTAGTCCTTTCGGGAAGGATTCTATGGGTCAAAAGAGACTTCAAAGGACCGTGAAGTACCCATCTCGGAAGGAGAGAAACATTTCAATCGCATCGCCATCCTGATTGTGAATTTTGAAGCAGCAAGGTGTTCGGTGAGTTGAAAGTGTTTTCAATAATCGAGAGTGAAACCGCATTAAGTACCAGGTAGTTGGGCTTCATCATTGTCCTAAGGTACAAGTATGACGCAAGAGTCCTCTTACAACGTTTTAGTGCGGTTTTAAACCAGAACAAGTGACCTGCGATGTTCTATCACGCTCGTAAATGGTCTGAAATAGAGCTTAAAGTTTTATTAACAACATCGAAACTTCCAATTCTTTGCGACGCATGGTTATCCTGTTAGTTTGACCTGCTTTTCACTTACAGATTCAATGTGAGTAACTGAAGGGAATAATACTGATAAAAATAGGTGTTGTCATCGACCAGACAGAGGGTTGTAAATGAACATAACGCCAAGATAGTGGCACGTTGTGGGGCAGCAGTGTGATTATTGTCCCCTACATTCACCCTATGGTGGATGAATGCAGTCTCCTGAGTGCAGCTAGGTCGACAGCACGATGAACATTCAGCTCCGTGGACACTCTTCGTGGGTAAAGTCATTTGTTCCCGAACTATGGAAAGCTAGAATCGCCTTTAAAAAGACTGGAGAAACACCCGTTGCGGATCCTCTGGACTCTATTCGGAAATATTTGTTTTGGGGGACTTACTGTAAAATAGCTTTTCGTGTATTAACTTTTCTACTAGCCAAAAGCCGAAAACCCAACATATCGTTTTTGTTTTGTCGCATATATCACGACGCTCATGACACAAACGGACCTTAATTCCTTCGGACTAAATGGATAGGTGCTCTTGTAGGCGCAGCGCGCCAAGGTGGGGACAGATTGTTCTTCGTACCTCCTTCAGAATGGCGCAAACCGCGAGGCGGTCACTTGCAGAAGGACGTGAAAGATATCGCAAAGAGTCTGGATGTTGTTGATGTAGTAAGCCTCTCATGATGCGGCCCCCGTGACCCACCTGTGGTTGGCTGGATACACAGCAAGAAATAGAGGCTGATCGATGTCAGCGGCCCTCGTGCTGTCAGTCCAGATTGTCCGATTGAACGCTTGGAGGTGTGAGCAATTTAGAATGCTTGACACAGGCCAGCACTAAGTTCACTCACTCCCTCACTCACTCTTTTTCTCTTCTTTTCACTCTGGGTCTCTAAATAGAATTAGACGGAACTTATGTTTGTACGGCAGTGAAGCATCAGTGTCAACACTGATGTCGCTGTCTCTGACGAAGATAATGATGAGATTCAGCTTGGTAGCACATTTCTGTGACACTCTGTCTGACGCTGTTGAAGTTCATAAACCCTCGAGGGTGAAATAGACCTGGTGCTTGGAATGATCCGTTCATGCAAACTCCCGGTTAATTGTCCAGCTTACATTTCCCCATGACAAAGTACCATAAATTGTGCTTTCTAGAATGGCTTACATTCATAGGCAGTTAGACCATAGCACGGTACTTCCCACATACTTGGCGTCAAAATTGCAAAAGGTCGGACAAACCATCAAATCAAGATGCTTCTAAGGTTAATGAGAGCCGGAAAAAAACAAGTGATTCGGTAGACGAACTATGTAGAACACTTACAGATGGACTCGATTGTAAATCCGAATGGCGACTTGAGCTGAGTACGCATCCAGGATAACTTGACTATTTGTAGATGATAGTCACTCCCACCGACCAACAGCACATAGGGTTCAAAGTGCCCGAGCAGGTAACAATTTTGCACAGCTTGTGCGAGCCACGGATTTTGTTGACCAGTGATATTTATGTACTTGAATGACATGAACAAATCAAATATGTTCATGGCACACGACGGAGTCTGGGTGTGTTTGGCGAATGAAACCGCCAAACACTTCGTCGGACCGACAGAACTTGGCATTTTGAAGTCTACTGCCATTTCTGGACGTAGCGATCAAACATGGATCACATTATGAAGAATAAGGAGATTTTCTTCTGAAAGATAGAAAGCGTTATTCGGCAAAACTACACGGAAGTAACTGAGATGATAAAAAACAGCTGGGTTTCTTGTCGGTCAAGAAAAACACAGGGCACCTGGTTTACCTTCGACAAAAAGAAACTGACGGTCAAACCCCAATCAAGCCAACTGGTTGAGTATTCACAAATCAAAGAAAACAGCGTGGCCTCTGTCGCATGCATCATTGCGTGAAAATTTTTGATTGGGTAATGAAACAGACATTCAGCCGTAGCGCATATTCTGACAATCTGCCGTGCAACTTGAAGAGGGAATGAAGGCCAATACACTACCAAATTGCTCAATCCTAGACAGGACTAATTGAAAAGCCAGTTTTGAATTCGAACCGACCTTCAAATTAGTTGTCTCGTGCCTTAATCCGCAAGCTTTTAGGAAATAAAGTTGCGTGTTGATGTCGATATATCCATCACTCGCAATAACCAGCCAAACAACAAAGCCCAACCGCATTTAGGATTACTGAAGGGAAGGTAGAGTCCGATATGCAGTGTCCTCTTGATATACTCAACTTCACTAATGTTGGATATTCGAAAGCATTGCTTTTTAGTAATGATAATGACGATGATGATAACGACTAGTGATGACGGCATTAACTAAAATTAGGGCGATCGCAGTGATGCCGATGAGATGGATAAGTCAAATCCAACAAAGACAGTTCGCGTTTTGTGCCGAGGATCTTACCTAGCAGCATGCCGGAGGGGGAAGAAGCAGGCAAACCGTGAGTTGAGCTCCTATGAATGCTCTGTTGATAATGTGCACACAAATTGGTCATTGATTCGGTTGAGGGCTATATAATTTCCCACCGTGCAGAGATTACGGAAAAGGTCAGCAAAGGGTTGTTTCTTACAATTGAGTCAGTTGAGCTATATGAGCTTCGAGGAACTGACTGATGATGTTTTCTGTGTAACAGGCTTTTCTTTGGAATAAAAATCAAATCGTTCAACCGTAGCACCCTTTCGGTGCCTAGCCGCCATGCCAACGGAAGGAGACACGAAGGCTGGGATACTGACAGGTTGCTCAAGCCTAGACAGGAATAGTCAGGATGCTGAGGCTGGGTTCGAACCACAGGCGTTCCGGTCCGTACGCTGGCGCCTTAATAAGTGAGCTAGGCTCTCCTTAGCTGTATCCCGAAAACAGTATAAAAAAACACTACACCTCACATCACCAAACGTATAACTTTCCTCGAGGACTGCAAATTCTCATACACTGCCATGTGCGGTCGACGATAAGATTCTGTTAAATTTCACAGCAGCTCGGCTAGAAAGTGATAACATGCTCGTCAGTGGGACAGTGCACATGCTATTTGATGTTAGGTTTTGAACACAAGTGAGGAGTATCAGATGGACTCAAATATGGGGGTGGGCATCCTGCGAAACTCAGATTGATAGCAGTCGCTTTCGTTTCGCATTACCATGTCACGAAACTTTCTCCGACAAAAGATCAAATAGGGGACCATTGTTTTCGTCGGTAGGTAACGACTCAGCATGCGTAGTACATTTAACTTGATAAGCTTGATTAGCTTCGTTTACCGCTTCAATGATTCAAATTCACTAACAAGTGAGTGCGCTGAACTCAATATCGGTCACTTAGGAGGACACCATAGTAAAAACTGGGTGACCAAAGGAACCCTAGACAGAATAAGCGTGGCTGAAACGGAGTGGAGACTATCGGGGTCGGAAAGAGATAAATGATCAGCGATAGTGTATGTAATAGTTGCAGGTTGACAATACGACCCCACTGGACAAAGAGGCACGTGGCGACTGCAGTAAGTCCTGAGGCGTAACCGGTATGAGGGGATCCCAACCTAAAGGGTAAAATGCACTCACGAGGCGAGATGGCGAGATGGTTAGAGCGCGAACTTACTGACCGGAAGGTCCACGGTTCGAATCCGACCTCTACCTCTGGATTTCCCCTGTCTAGGCTTGGGCAACCTGGCAGTACCTCAGCCCTCGTGCTTCCATGGGGTAGCATGGCAGTTAGGCACCGAAAGTGTTACAACTGAGCAATTTTGTTTTACTGACGGAGGCTAAAGACTGACCAACGGTAACACTTAGTAATGAGTAGGGCAGGGTGACGGGAGGCCTAGTGGTAAACTGGGGCGCGGCCGGGCAGTGTAATGGAACTAGCACAGAAACTGAACAAAGATTTCCGGCTACTCCGATCAACCGATCAATTTGACAGACATAAACCATGTATTATAAGTACATTGGCTTCAGCTGCTACATTTTCGATCACCGGAAATTGGGAGAATGTGGAACATACAGCCAAGCATTGGAGGCGATGGTATGTTCACTCGGTTTAGAAACTAGGCAGCTACGCACTTCAGGCCATAGCTTTGGTGCACGAGCGCCACTACCTCCGCGATTGGGCCATTTCAAGTGTCATTAACCACTGGCGAGGTGAGTACCGGGATCCCCATCCAGGAGGGGGCAGCAGTTATTGACCGGGCTCAGTTTACTGGTTAATGAATTCATACTTCGTTGCCAGCTCATACAATGTCCACCTCTCGGTCGCTTACACCCAGAACAGGGCTGGGCCGTCTTTAAGGCAGACGGCCTTCCGGCATGCGGAGTACGTGTACCAACCATCGTAACCTATGAAACATGAGTAATCCACCCATCCAACAGGATTTTCTTCTTCTTAGGACCATCTAGCGCACCTCAGTATTACTAATTTGATGTGCCGACCATAGCCAACAAACGCTTCGGAGACAGCGATGGTCAAACACTGACATCTTCCGTATGTCCTTTGCGCGTAGAGAACACGTCTCCGATCCATAAAGCCGCATGGATCGCCCCGCCGCATTGTAAACTCTGACCTTTACGGAAAAACTGACGTCACGTCGTCACCGTAGGTGTGAGAGGTTCGCAAAAGCTGACCTGGCTTTTTCAATTCAGGAAATAACCCCATCTCCAGCTAGTCCCCGGGACTTATACAGCTGCCCATGCAAACAAATTTACCTACCACATCGATTGGTTTGTCTGAAAATAAGAGGTTTGTGTTTGATTTAACCGTCTTATAGCAGCGCTTTACACTTTGGAACTTATCCCAAGCCGTGCGGCTGAGTTATTTAAGTTATTTAAAATGTGTTGCATTTTTGAAGGATCTGAACCAAGGAGAACAACATCGTTCGCATACCCACATCTGTGAGCGAACGTCTCGGGGGGTATTTCGACTCCCGAGGTTTCAGAGACAGGTAGAGTAATTTCAAGCAGTGAATCAGTAACAAAGTTGAAGAAGAAAGGTGAGAAAGGGCATCCTGCCTTGTACCACTGGACGTGGTGAACTCGCGCAAAAGCTTGCCGTATACTCGTACGTGCTCATGGGAGTTCGCATACAATGCTCTCATAAGGGATATAAATTTGGAACACCCTTGATCCCGAGATACTGCCGAATTTCCGACGATCGATAGATCCAGCGAAAAGGGATAACATAAGGCGTCTGAAAGAGCGGCGCCGTGCGAGAACTTGTCTCAAGGTGAAGATATGATCGAGGTATGGCACAACCCTGCTTGATTCTCACGAGTATGTCTCTCCCGATAATCGATCAACCTGCACAAAATAATGCGAGGGCACCTCAGATGCGACGTGGCTGATGCCACGATCGCTTTCGAAAGACTTTTCCGTGTCCCTATTGAAGACTGGGATGACGGTCGTGGAGTTCCGTTCCACTTCGTTCAAATTTCCTGAAGTATGCTCATCAAATGGTTCACCAGGATCTCACCGCCTTGTCTGAAAAGTGCGGGCGCAGACCATCTGGACCAGGAGCCTTGTTGCGGTGAAGCATAAATAGCTTGCACTCAATTTCTGCTGTTGACGTAGGGCTGCTGTTGATGTTTCATTAAGGCCCGCTGGGTTCTTCCAGTGATCATGTTGAAGGAAACCAGATAAAGCGTTCGTCCCATCGCCCAAGACGACAGTTTTGTGAGTGAATTGTTGTTCCGTTTTTTTTTCGCATTTCGTTGCGGACGCTTGTCTTTTTTTCAACCACTCGACCGAATCAGCGCTGTTGTCTGCGCCAAAAGTCTTCTCCATGTCCTGTGCCTTCGCAATCAACCAAACTTCAGTCATTATTTAAGCTACTGATTATCCGTTGCTTAAGGGATATGAGTGCGCCATCATAATCGCTAGCTGCTGATATGGCCTCGTTGGCCGGTGATGCAGATTCGAACTCATGTCGGGAAGCAGTGGCAGGGAAGAATGTGGAAAGAGGAAAATTTAACGGGTAACCTTTGTCAGATTTGAGAGTAACATCCATTAGATGTCAGCCTTGCTGCTGGCGTCGGCAGAGACAGTAAGGGGAAACGACAACAGACGCAAGTTCCACCCATGAGATAGAAGCAGTGGCAAAGAGAATAACCCAAAAATCGCAGGCGAGTGAAATCACGGCTACCAGACATTCTTATCTCTGAAGGGGGCGAAAGTGATCGGTTGGAAAATAATAAATGATGGAAACGTCCTAATTATCAAGCCACTAGCAGTGCGCAGACGCATTTAAATGTGTTTCACAGTCAGTTACATGTACTGCGCAAGATGCAGTGATGAAAGTCAAAGGTGTAACTGCAAAGAAGCACACACAATTGGAAGGACAAACCACGCCATGAGCACCAGCAGGCGTCTGTAACCGGACACCCCACCTCGAAGGGTGCGATGTGCCAAATGGTGCAAGCCGAAAGGTATGTATGTTTAGCTTTCATCGCCACGTTAGTTTTTTTGGTAGGCTACGCTTCGAAAAGATTGAACTTTGTCACGCTGCGGCCGTTTACGTACCTCCATGACCCACTGAATTAGGCTTCACTTCGACATCCGCAGAGCTTGGCTAGTGGATAAGGGTCTGACGAACACGGCCTCCTGGTCTTCCAAGTTGGGGGTTGGAACAGTTACAGTGACGTCGTCGTTAAAAACCTGCACTACTGTAGTAGTATGCCCGGAATTACCCGCTACCTTGCGGTCAGGCTTTCGAGTCAAAGGCATTGGTTGAGAACCACGGAAGGAATTACCCGCTACCTTGCGGTCAGGCTTTTGAGAACACTAATCGTCTGCCTGTCTAGGTGTGCGCCCCCATGACAGCATCCCATCCCGCGTACGACCATGATCGTCACACCTAAAAGGTATCATCCTGGCACATCAATCATCACCTTACTTGCTGCCCACAGCAGGGTGCACGTTAGTCTCGGTGCATCCCTTCTTACAGTTTCACGTATTCCGTCTTCTACCCCACCCTACCCAAATTTGAACACTATTTGTAGATCGCAGCGTTAAAATTGACCGATTGGTTCACTGTCGACTGCAGTTTCATTAATACGAAACACTCTGGAGACTGTTTTTAAGGCCTGAAATCCTTCAATGTTCTCACACCGAAAGGATAATGATGACAAGCGGCTCTTACTCGTACCCTAGATTCCCTCCGCAGCAATTTAGGCTGTCTATGAGAAGCAAGAATTCAGGACTGTAACTGAACTGAATGCCCACTCGCTCTCTTCCGTTTCAGGCTGCGCACCTTTGGTGACTTGGAGGCAGCTGGAGCTGGGTTCGCCAGGATAAATATTGTGTTGAACCATCGAGTGGAAGCGTCTCTGCTCGATTGGATTCCGGCTGACAGTCACCTGTGTGAATCTAAGGAAAGTGAGATTCATCGCACCCTGATTATTGTCTGCCTATGACCAGGCAGACTATAGCTCTAAACCTAACAAGGAACTTATATGTTCTTGGTGTTTTTCACAACGAGTTTAAAGCTCAGACTTCGTTGTGGTTGCTTGTTACATGAACACTCACGAAAATAAGCTGGACGCTACTTAAGTCCAATTGGGTGGTAGTCTCGGGGTGGACAGGAGACGCACGTACACCGCGAAGCGCCTGGTGCAGTGGTGCCAACCACAGACTGTTCTTTTGCAGCACCGCTTTCCAGAACAGCGAAAATCGTTTGATGACATGGTACCCAACAACACATCAGCCCCGAATCCAAAGACAGTACGTTGCCATTAGTTAATGGTGACAAAGGCCGATCACTGCATACCGCTCCTTATTGAATAGCTGCATGGATTCCGAGTGGAAGAGTTATCCGCAGCTGGTTTTCACTCCTATTTTAATGTCTAGCACAACTCACGTAGCCAGTGGGAAACTTAGAGAAGCAAACAGACCTATCAGAGCCAGTTCCTCCAAGACCTGTCGGTCCGATGTCAACGCTTACTGGGGATGGATATCAAAGGCCTTACTCAATACCGGAACTTCCGCCTGTAGTACAATCCGGCCAATCTCATCCAAGTACTGGATTTCTGATAGAACCGTGGCTTTACCGGAGACCCGGAGACACACTCCTCCTGGTTGCAACCACAACTCAACTCGACGCATCATCTGAAGCCGGGTGAAACTGAGTGCTTGTAGAGAGTGGAACGCTTGGTGGATCCAAAAGGTTGCATAACTGAAACACGTAAAAATTCTTGGAACATCTGGACTGACTGGACTTCGGAAGCTTTTTGTCAGTTAAACCATCAGGGGGCAGAATGACTCCCTGGTATCCAACAGAGAGCATTTGGATCGTTGAGACAACACTCGAAACAACTCAGTTAGTTACCTAAATACTCTAATCTGAACTTCAACAGAAGGGTGGACTGCAAATATAGAGCCGCCTTCGGCTTCAGAAGTGTCCATATGTATATATCTGATCTAAGTGCTTTGTTCAGTGCTTCTCAAGCCTATTTGCGTCCAACTGAGAAAAATGGACTGTTTAGTTGTTGGTCTGCCCTCAAAGCTTGGCAGTTGGATTGCAAACATTTCATCACCAATCGAGGTGAAATTGTCAGTGCAGGGTGAATTCTTCCTCTCCTATCTGGTTATACGGTTTCTAAGCGGTCTTCTTGTAATATGATTGGTCTCCAGTGAATCCGACTTCGTCTCACTCTCTTGTGTCTGTTTGGTTCGTTGGGTGCATTCAATTCTAGTTTCGTGTGTGGTTGTTTTGTTGTGATCCGGCCGTTTTCTTCTTGCTATGTCGTGTGAATCTGTTCCCTTGATTTGTTGATTCAGTGGCCTTCTGTTTTAAGTGATTCTCATTCCTTGATCCAATCAGTCCGTTGGTTGTTGTTAGGTTTCTTAGCTCAGAGTCCCATGACTGCGTAGTTCTTTTGCTCGCAACGGCTGGTAGATTGGGTCAATGTCGATGTGTTAATTGATCAGTTTTTGTTTCGAGCATCACGCTTTAAAAAATTATCGCTCTCGTTTTGTCCTTTTGTGAGCAAATATTTGAACATTGTCCCAGTGGAACTCCCGTCTTCATGAATTGAGACAACTGACATAGGGTCATGTCTTCCGCTGGCAAGCCTGTGCTAGTTTATTCTAGAGACGAGTTTACTTCCCGTTTAACCAACATGGTGTTTGTCGCAGTCGTAACACTTACGTTTGTAGACCACGTTAATCTTCTTCAATGTATCTGTTAAACAATAGCACACGGGTCCCGCTTTGCCGCTCGCAGTCAGGCGCTGCTATGGCCGAGAAGCCAATCCCATTCACGATTGGCCAAAAGTTTTGGGACGCTTGCCGGTCCGGCACCAAGCCGAGATCTGATGGGTCGAAAGTGGGGACAGAACAACCAATCATAACCCAGTGTTGGCCGAATGCCGGTTGCCAATGGCGCATCCGGAATGCGTCAGAATTTCTAGAAAGTTATTGCCGCCTAAGCTATATATTTGAAATGCTGTATAAGTGCTCCTGACTTCTTTTTGCGCGTTAATATTGTCCGTTCAACTTTCGTGGTTGTTTTGAATTAAACGCTAACTTGGGAGTCTCAGACAGAGAACTGAGCTGAGCAAAACATCGTTAATGCAGCATGCAACCTTCCCTTTCGTTTCGAAATGATAATTCTCAACACGTTACCAGGCTTGAAGGCGAACGTAATTCAACGCCGCCGTAGATATCGTGCGGTCATCTCCGCGAAGTTTCTGTTGTACGGCACTGTACTCTTCCTCTGCTCTGGTTGTGCCGGACACCTCTCAGCGACCCCAGTAACCAGAGAAACGTCAGTTTCGCTCCCATTGTAACAAAGCCTAATGTTAAGGAAACCCGCGAAACCTCAAACCGTGAGCATCAGGCGGGATTTTGACCGGGTAGAGGCTGTGCCGTTGACATCCTTATACTCTTCCAGCTATTAAAGCAATGTCCTGTGTACAGACGGCCGGATATCCTGGCGCTCCCTAACTTCAGTAGGACTTTTGATTCAAAAATATTTAGAAGGTGAGTATGTAAATAAAAAGCTACGTTGTTCAGTTGGACTTACCAAGGGACCGCATTACTGGGTAAAACCAAGCACGTCAACAGCCCGTAGAAAAAATTCTTCGGAACTCAAGCTCACAAACATAGGAACATCCAGATACGTTGCGACGTCTCAGGATTGTATCAACGACTTGTTTGAATATATATAAAGCCGTCTTGCTACCTTAATGTGGTTGGGGACACCTAGATGGACCGAAAACATGGTGATAATAATAATGTTCCCTAATTTGTGCGGCGACGCCTACCGCAGCGCCCAGATTGTTTTGTAGAAATATTTGTTTTTTTTCCGGTTTTTAATGGGTAGAACGGGTTGATATGTCTAGCATATGGTTAAACTACGTGAGGACGTGCGCAGTGAAAACCGATGTTTCCGTAATTTTCTTATTTACCTCGTTGTTTGCAACATGTTGAGGAATTGGTCAATACAATGAGAGCATGCTTCCAGTCGTTTCAGATTTTAGTTTGAATGCAACGTCGTATCCAAACTATGTTTCAGGCAAGTGCCTCCATTCTCTAAAGTGTGTACCGTGTCCATCTAAAGTGGACTTGAGTCGCAATTGCGATTGACCCTATGGAATCGGTAAATAATCAGCTCCCCTTTGTGCTTCAAGCTGGTTAACCTGTGTCATGACGCCTTCAGTCAAAAACAAGATCAACGACAGCCGCATGTCACATAAAGCGCGGTGAACTCATTCTCCTAGGGCATCAGTTTTGGCAGCAGTGGATCACAAAACGCACCTGGGTATACACGGACAACGGAAAACTGTAACTTTGTGCAAACCAACTCTTGGATGGCAGACTAAAATTTCAATAACACTCAAAAATATATAGCTCAGCGTGCATCAGCCTTGTTTGAGCAACAGCAGAGTTTCATCTGGGATTCACAGTAACCGAAGTACGGGCTAACTTCTCGTTTGCGAAATAGTACTTTGGAATTTTAAGCGTGGAATCTTCCTCAATTTTACTGGTAGCAACGTGCACTCCCAGCTGATGGGTGCCATATTATTAGGCGAGATCACTTCAGCACGGTCATGAGAGCAGCAAAAGTCTTCCGATGCATGGTTCTGATTGTGCAGGAACAAGGGAAGTGCGTCTAGAAATAAGGTATATTCAACAAATTTCGTTGTGCCAAAACCAGCGCCAGCTGGTTCTGATTGGTGCGAACGCCTATTCGTGAGAGGTTCCGGGTGGGTAGAGTGCTTGCATTGCACGACACCATATAGTCGTATAAAATAAGTAATTTTTTAGTAGAACAGGCAAAAAGTCCACCAGGATGGCCTGGAGCCTCGTGTGCGGACACAGATTCATCAGACTAAGAAGTTTTGGTTTGCACTTGGTGCACTCTTGGTCGGGAAGAAGCAATCAACTTTAACACAAGGGTGGGCCA